TTATACCACTTATAATGTTTATGCTACTTATACTGATCATAATGTTTATAATGATTATTTTAATTATATTTTTGATCTCATTAATCCCCCTTATTCCACCGATATAAATTATCAATCCGATACCAAGTATACAGCTGATACAGTGTATACTGCTGGTAAACCCATTTAAGGTAGGTGATCGATATAGCCGTTTATTCGTTACTGTGCCACATCGATCACCTGCTTTAACGAGCTTCCGGCACTGCCTTCCTACTGCTCACATTCCTCCCCAACTCAAGGTGAGTCCCACGAACTTCACCAGGCGAGCTGTCAGGCTTCCTCACTGGCCATTTGTTTAAAGTCTTGGAAGGTTACTTTCGAGGTCCTGTAAATTTGGCGTATACTCCGAAAGGCAAAGACATCATAGATCTTTATGGCCGTAAGATAATAATGTAGTGTTACTGTCCTGCACATCTGTATCCTCTGATCGTTGGTAGCATGGGCAAAGAGCATCTCTATATAGTAGTCATACACTAGGGTCTCCACTCTATTTCTTAATCGTAGGGTTCGAGATAACAATGAGTAGGTTAGGGTAACTGCGATCATGAGATCATGTAATTCATTAAACAGTGGTGGGGTAATATCGACATCATCAGGCATGTGAGAGGTGATATTGTGAGATCCGAAAACGTGATCGATATCACATGTCGTAAATCCCGAATGTCAGAAATGTCAGATATGTCAGATATATTTGATATATCTGATATATCGCCTATATCGCATAAGTGTGATATATGCGATATATATGATAAATTAGATATATTTGATATACTAGACAAGTCCATAATGTAAATAGACAAGACAGTTTATTATAAATAAAGGGCAATTCGCCCAGACAAAGGGGAGTGATTCCAATTGCAAAACAAAAACTACCTACCCGACCCAAAATTAAAGTGAAAGTGTTGTCCCAAAAAAAGCCCAGCAACTATCGTTAAATCCCAGTACTAACACTACCCCTCCAAGAATAACCAAACCCGTAATTGAGTGCTCGCCATAGCCACGTGCCTAGCAAACCGAAACGAAAGAGAAGAGTTCCAACCCCAATTCGACATAGTGAAATCCCAGTTGAGACAATAGAAAAAGATAAAGAAATTAGAAGAGTAGGTTGAAGGAAAGACTCAACAGAGAAGAGACCAGTACTTACCTACGGACGAAAATCCACTCGCCAAATCTAACACGCCTGTTTCGACTTAGCCGCCGTAGGTTACACGAGAGTTGGCTTAGTTTAGCGACAGACTCGCCGAAATCCGAGACGACAATATTAAACCAATAATATTGCATCAAGGACGACACTTTGGATGACCGGAATGTACTGTATGTCGTTTTAGCCCTGTTTGGGGACCTCTATTAATGAATCAATCATCCAAAACTAAAAAAAAAAGCAATAAAAAATGCATCAAAAAGCAACTAAAAGTGTTGGAAGAGCAATTTTATTTATAACACAGTAATGTCTTTTCTAATCTTAAATTTGGATAAGTCCTAACTTAAATTTTTTAAGAGCTCTTTCAAATAAGGAAATTGAAATGATTCGATTTGGTCGTACTGTGCATCTCCATCCTGCCGTACCCTATTAATCACTTTTTTGGCCTTTAAATTTATTTGGTGCAACAATTCAAAAAGTATATTTACGCTACGTGCATACATATTGGTTGCTCATAATATTAAATATTATATATATAATTATTTTTATCATGTCAGATGAAGACGACTTACCAAGCGTTTATAATAATCGACTATTAAATAATCAAGTCGTTAATGCACACAAACGCGCAAATAATGATGATTCATTGAATTTTCTAAATAGCATTATCAATGAATTATGCGAACTATATAATAATGAAGTTATGAAAGGAAATTCAGCACCATCAATTCTTAATTCGATAGATCATTTTATAGAAAACAAGCAGCAAACCTCAGAGGAAATAATTAATTTATGCTTAAAAAACCAAGGGAACCCCGTTATTCAAACTAATCCAATAATTCAAAATATTCTTGCTTATTGCTATAGTTATGGAAAATGGGTCGAAAAGAGTGAAAGTCAAACATTTTTTCATTGTAAAATATCTGCCGATCTGGAAAATTTTATTGGAATTAGTAATCTCGGATATTGTTATGAAAATGGTATAGGAATTGAAAAAGATGAACATAAGGCATTTTTCTATTATCAAAAATCTGCTGAGATGGGTGATGCTATCGCAATAAATCGAGTTGGTTATTGTTATGAAAATGGGATTGGAGTTGAGCAAGATGAAAATAAAGCATTTATTTATTATCAAAAATCTGCCGAGATGGGTGATGCTATCGCAATAAATCGAGTTGGTCATTGTTATGAAAATGGAATTGGTGTTGAACAAGATGAATATGAGGCATTTTTTCAATATAAAAAATCGGCTGATACTGGATACGTTATTGCAATAAATAAAGTTGCTCGTTGTTATCAAAATGGAATAGGAATTGAAAAAAATAAACATAAAGCTGCTGCTTTGTTAAATCAAATTGGACATTGTTATTTATATGGAATTGGAATTGAAAAAGATGAATATAAGGCATTTTTTTATTATCAAGAGTCTACAGAAATAGGTAATGCTATTGCAATAAGTCAGGTTGGTTATTGTTATGAAAATGGAATTGGAATTGAGAAAGATAAACATAAAGCATTTGAATATTACAAAAGATCTGCTGATATGGGTAATGTTATTGCAATAAATCAAGTTTGCTATTGTTATCTAAATGGAATAGGTACTGAAAAAGATGAACATAGGGCATTTAATTATTATCAAACATTAGGAAATACCTTTGCAATTAATGATCTTGCAAATAATTATCTAAATGGAATAGGAGTTGAAAGAAATGAATACAGAGCATTTTCATATTATCAAAAATCTGCTGAAATGGGTGATGCTATTGCGATTAATCAGGTCGGGCATTGTTATGAAAATGGAATAGGAGTTGAAAAAGATAAATATAAAGCACTAACTTATTATCTAAAACTTGCCAATATGGATACTATTATGATAAATAAAATTGCTTGCTGTTATCTAAACGGAATAGGTGTTGAAAAAGATGAACATATGGCGTTTGTTTATTGTCAAAGATCTGCTGATATGAATGATGCTGATGGTATATATAATGTGGGTTATTGTCATGAATATGGAATTGGTGTTGAAAAAGATGAATATAAAGCATTTTTACAATATAAAAATTCTGCAGATATGGGAAATATTGCTGCGATAAATAAAATTTCTTATTGTTATTTAAATGGAATAGGGGTTAAAAAAGATGAACGTAAGGCATTTGATAATTTCCAGAAATCCGCTGAGTTGAGTGATGCTGATAATGTATATAATGTTGGTTATTGCTATGAAAATGGAATTGGAGTTGAAAAAGATGAACGTGAAGCATTTATTCACTATAAAAAATCTGCTGATATGAGAAATATTATTGCAATCAATAAAGTGGGTTATTGTTATCAAAACGGAATAGGGATTGATAAAGATGAACATAAGTGCTTTATTTATTATCAAAAATCGGCCGTGTTGAGTGATGATGGTATATATAATGTTGGTTATTGTTATGAAAATGGAATTGGAGTTGAAAAAGACAAATGTAAAGCATTTATTTATTACCAAAAATCTGCTGATATGGGAAATATTATTGCGATAAATAAAGTTACGTATTGTTATCAAAATGGAATAGGAGTTGAAAAAAGCAAACATAAGGCTGCTGCTGTACTAAATCAAGCTGGAAATTATTATTATTATGGTATGGGAATTGAAAAAGATGAATATAAGGCATTTTTTTATTATCATGAGTCTGCAGAATTGAGCGATGCTGAAGGCATATATAACGTTGGTTGTTGTTATGAAAATGGAATTGGAGTTGAAAAAGATGAACACAAAGCATTTGATTATTACAAAAAATCTGTAGATATGGGTAATGTTTTTGCACTAAATCAAGTCGGTTATTGCTATGCAAATGGGATAGGAGTTGAAAAAGATAAACATAAAGCATTTGTTTATTATCAAAAATCAGGCAATACCTCTGAAATGAATCAAATTGCAAATAATTATCTAAACGGAATGGGAGTTGAAAAAAATGAACATAATGCATTTGAATTGTATCAAACATCTGCCGATATGGGTGATGCTATTGCGATAAATCAAATCGGTCATTGTTATGAATATGGGATAGGAGTTGAAAAAGATGAACATAAAGCATTTCTTAATTATCAAAAAACAGGAAATATTTCTGCAATAAATAACCTTGCGGATAACATAAATAATATTGCAAATAATTATCTGAATGGAATAAATGTTAAAAAAGATAAATATAAGGCATTTGAACATTATCAAAAATCTGCTAATATGAATAATGCTTTTGCGATAAATAAAGTTGCTTATTGTTATCAAAATGGAATAGGAATTGAAAAAGATGAACGCGAGGTATTTCTTTATTATCAAAAATCCGCTGAGTTGGATGATGTTGATGGCATATATAACGTTGGTTGTTGTTATGAAAATGGAATTGGTGTTGAAAAAGATGAATATAAGGCATTTTTTTATTATAAAAAATCCGCCGAGTTGGGTGATACTAATGGCATATATAATGTTGGTTGTTGTTACGAAAATGGAATTGGGGTTGAAAAAAATAGAAATAAGGCTGCAGTTATGATAAGTCAAGTTGGACATAATTATTTATATGGAATTGGAGTCGAAAGGGACGAACATAAGGCATTTGGTTATTATCAAAAATCTGCCGAGTTGAATGATGCTGATGGCATATATAATGTTGGACATTGTTATGAAAATGGAATCGGAGTTGAAAAAGACAAATGTAAAGCATTTATTTATTACGAAAAAGTTGCCAATATGAGAAAGGTTATTGCTATGGATAAAGTTGCTTATTGTTATCAAAATGGAATGGGGATTGAAAAAAATATTAATAAGGCTGCTGCTTTGCTAATTCAAGTTGGTCATTGTTACTTATATGGAATAGGAATTGAAAAAGATGAATATAAAACTTTCTTTTATTATCAAAAATCTGCAGAAATGGGTAATGATAGTGCAATAAATCAGGTTGGTTATTGTTATGAAAATGGAATTGGAGTTGAAAAAGATAAACTTAAAGCATTTAAATATTACAAAAGATCTGCTGATATGGGTAATGCTATTGCAATAAATCAAATTTGTTATTGTTATCTAAATGGAATAGGTGCTGAAAAAGATGATCATAAGGCATTTAATTATTATCAAACATTAGGAAATATCTTTGCAATTAATGATCTTGCAAATAATTATCTAAATGGAATAGGAGTTGAAAGAAATGAATACAGGGCATTTTCATATTATCAAAAAGCTGCTGAAATGGGTGATGCTATTGCGATTAATCAGGTCGGTCATTGTTATGAAAATGGAATAGGAGTTGAAAAAGATAAACAAAAAGCATTTATTTATTATCTTGCTAATATGGATACTATTATGATAAATAAATTTTCTTATTGTTATCTAAATGGAATAGGTGTTGAAAAAGATGAATATATGGCGTTTGTTTATTGTCAAAGATCTGCTGAGATGGGTGATGCTGATGGTATATATAATGTGGGTTATTGTCATGAAAATGGAATCGAAGTTGAAAAAGATGAATATAAAGCATTTTTACAGTATAAAAAATCTGCAGATATGGGAAATATTGTTGCGATAAATAAAGTTGCTTATTGTTATCTAAATGGAATAGGGGTTAAAAAAGATGAACGTAAGGTATTTGATCATTGTCAAAAATCCGCTGAGTTGGGTGATGCTGATAATGTATATAATGTTGGTTATTGCTATGAAAATGGAATTGGAGTTGAAAAAGATGAACGCAAAGCATTTATTCACTATAAAAAATCTGCTGATATGAGAAATATTATTTCAATTAATAAAGTGGGTTATTGTTATCAAAACGGAATAGGGGTTAATAAAGATGAACATAAGTGCTTTATTTATTATCAAAAATCGGCCGAATTGAGTGATGCTGATGGTATATATAATGTTGGTTATTGTTATGAAAATGGAATCGGGGTTGATAAAGACAAATGTAAAGCATTTATTTATTACCAAAAATCTGCTGATATGAAAAACGTTGTTGCGATAAATAAAGTTACGTACTGTTATCAAAATGGAATAGGAGTTGAAAAAAGTAAACATAAGGCTGCTGCTATACTAAATCAAGCTGGAAATTATTATTATTATGGTATGAAAGTCGAAAAAGATGAGTATAAGGCATTTTTTTATTATCAAGAGTCTGCAGAATTTAATATTAGTGCAATAAATCAAGTTGGCTATTGTTATGAAAATGGAATTGGAGTTGAAAAAGATGAACGTAAAGCATTTGAATATTACAAAAGGTCTGCTGATATGGGTAATGCTATTGCAATAAATCAAGTTTGTTATTGTTATCTAAATGGAATAGGTGTTGAAAAAGATGAACATAAAGCATTTAATTATTATCAAACATTAGGAAATACATTTGCAATGAATAATCTTGCAAATAATTATCTAAATGGAATAGGAGTTGAAAAAAATGAATATAGGGCATTCGGATATTATAAAAAATCTGCTAATATGGATGATGCTATTGCGATAAATCAAGTTGGTTATTGTTATGAAAATGGAATAGGTGTTGAAAAAGATGAACATAAAGCATTTCTTAATTATCAAAAAATAGGAAATATTCCTGCAATAAATAACCTCACAGATAATATAAACAATATTGCAAATAACTATCTAAATGGAATAAATGTTAAAAAAGATGAATATAAAGCATTTGAACTTTATCAAAAATCTGCTAATATGAATAATGCTTTTGCAATCAATAAAGTTGGTTATTGTTATCAAAATGGAATAGGGGTTGATAAAGATGAATATAAGTGCTTCATTTATTATCAAAAATCGGCTGAGTTGGGTGATGCTGGTGGCAT